GATAGATTGCGTAATGCCAGGTTTTGTGGGGAATGCATTTTGGAAGCTCGGAAGTCATTCATAGATACATCTGTTCATACCATTATCCCACTATCTTACACTATTGGCTCTTGAAAGGGATTCTATAGACCTGGTACTCATCTCCTGCATTAACAGGCAAGATATTAAACGTGGCAAACCCATCTGGACTTTCAGGTTCCAGCCTGACAAAGGCCTGGGCTGCATGCTGCTGTTTCGTACCAACCCAATATGCCCCAGCAGGAAACCTCATCGTCTTCTTGCTCAACTCCGTATTCACTGTGGTCAACGCAATGCCCTCGTACTTGGTTTCTGCTAGCGTAGCAGATGTGATGTTGTATGCTTCGACTTCACCTTCAAAGTCGACAGCAAGCTCATCCACGATAACACCAGCTGCTCGCAGGCGAAGGGCTGCGTTAGCCCAGGCTCTGCTGAAGATGTAGGCCTCGGGACGTGCGCGGGTGAGGTTACTCGCGGGAGGAGTATTGTTGCCGAACAAAACTGGAACCTCTGTGATGTTTCCAGTCTCGGCGTCGAGGTATGGCCATGTCGTCTCCATCCATCTTGGCTGGTCCCTTACAATGATCTCGTGGGCATTTTCGATGAAGTCCTTTCTAGCTTCTTCAACAGTTTCGTATACCAACTCCGCATTATCGGCGGCAATCTGCAAGACCGTCTCAGCAGCAGTCAAACCAGCTGTTGTTCTGCGCTGAAAGTTGCGATCTCCAATTCCGATTCCTCTCGTCTCAGATAGAAAGGCCAGTCCTTGACCGAGAAAAACAGTGACTTCGCCACGAGTATCGGTAACAAAGTCTTGAAGTTTGATGGTATCGTTTTCTTGTGATGCAACAACGTAGCCATCTGTTGTGAGGTTCTTCTTCCGTAAGGCGCTGGCAACTTCAGGGACAAACAGAGATTCCGCCATTGAACGAATATCAGCGTGGACATTAGGGTTCTTGAACGCCGAGAACTGGTTGTCCTGGACGGGGATATATGTCTTGTTCTCATATGTCAACCCTCTCCGGGCTCCATACTCGTGGCAATCAAGATGCACATGAGCATTGAACTTGAGGTTCAACTGTTTGACGTCCATGGTCTGTTGCGAAGCCATCTTGGTATGGTCTCGATTGGGGTCAAAGCTCGTCGCGAGGAGACGCTGAAAATAAGCAGATCCGTCGGGATTGTATCGTGGAAGAACAATAATATCGAGCTTTTCCAGAAGTCCAAGTGCCCATTCTGGTTCAGCATCCATTTTACCGAGGAGTGCAAGAAGTCCTTCTTCGCCAGCCGGTTCGTTCCCATGAACCCCTCCCTGCAGCCAAACTCGGACTTTGTTAGTGGTGTTACCCACTGGCGATGTCTGCAAGAGCGATTTTGATGCAGACAAAACAACATATGGAATCGAGCGTCCCTCTTCAGAAGTAAAGACAGGATTGTGATATGTCATCCACTCGTTGCGCGATGCCAGCGTCCACAAGAACTGTTCCAGCGTCTGCTGGGAGTTTGGTGCTGATGTGCCATTTGCGAAGCCTGGAGCGACATTCTCAGGATTGATGAAGGCTGGAGAGTAGAGCTTTTGGTCTACATCCGGAAAGTTGGCGGCAATTTGAGGAGGATCTGCCTCAAAAGGGACTTGGTTTCCTGCATAAGAGAGCGCTGCGACTCCCGAAAGGAGTGTTGAAAACACAAGAGAATGCATTGTTGTTTACTGGAGAAGGCTTCTTGAGACGCATGTTTTCTTCCTTTATATTTATTGGAACCCCTCCGAGCCAAGTACCGGTGTTACACTGAGCTTCCCTCTTGATACTAGTAAGTGATTATCATTGTCGAATAAGATAAAGGTCGACTTGGAACCCCGCGATTTGGGGTATCGCCAAGCTCTGTGATCCACTGTTATCACTTGGCAGTCCGACCACGGCGGCCAACTTTGACCGTACACTTGGAAAGTCGTATTTTTGTATCGGGGAACCTATTGGGGTACTGATTAAGGTATGCGTCTGTAGAGATTCGAGTGCGCTGGCCTCTGATGGGTCAAGGGAGTCGAACTGCTGTAGACGCATGGGACAAGAATAAGAAAACCAAGAGCAAAGTCTCTGACATTGTACAAAACTGAGGTATACTCTATTTAATCCTTCTTCGATAAATCTAGAAAAGCTGACTGAGATTAAATTAAGCTTATAATTAAACCTGCGCGATATTGGTGCGGGCAGGAAGCTAGGGATGTTCGCCGCACCAGGAGTTTCCTTGCGGATAGCGGGAACATTACCCGCCCAGTCGGCTGGACTAGCGGATATGTACCATGGGCATGAATGATCTAATACTACCACTTTATCTTTCCAGCATGGATTGACAGTAAGTTGTAGATAAGCAGTGGAACCTTTGTAAGGAGACTAAGTCTATGAAATGTGTAGTCCATGCAATAACGTATAGTAGAGATCTTATCAATATCCAAGCGGTTGACAATCGATCAGTTTCCATAAGTCGGACGCTGAGGTGCCGCAGGTTGAGCTCCAATGCGGTTGTCGAAGTACGTATGTTGTTGGTGCCTTAACGTTATAGTAGCAGAGGCCACGAGAGTAACTCTCAAGACAGATACTTGATATACAACGGTCTTTATCCAATCCAAGTACTCTACAAGACTGGCCCTGGTAGTGCGAGTTACTTTGCGCCAGAAACAGCAATTCATAGGCTGCGTGAGCAGCTGTTGTGCCAACAAAGGCTCATTCGAGACGTGTCTCAGGCTTCAGAATCTTACAGAAATTTCAGTTTGAAAGAACGCCAAGTTGCTAAGAGAAAAGTAAAGAAAAACGCGACCGAAGTCTTCGCTGTTATACCTACATTCCACTGTTTTCTCATCAACGGGAAATGCTATCTGGCTAGTCGCAATGGACTAACATGGCGAACGGGCTCTGGGGCGGTCAATGCAGTACAATCTCTCGGTTTCAATGGCCCATGCTTATTTTCTTCGGCACTTCTGGAATTTTGGTGGGCTAACTAATAATGATGGAGCTCAGACGTGTCTTGAACGCGCATCCGGTGTTACTATAAATAGATGACGTGAATTAGCCAGAGGCTGAGTGAAAATAGACAGTTTGTCAGAGATGAGGCTGAGCTCAAGATATGGTACATTATGGATTGATACTGCTAGCCGCCCAATAGTAAGTACAGCAGCGTATCAAGTATACCGTATATACCATGGCGATTACCGACTCTGGCATTCTCTCCCTTTTTGTACTTTTGCTAGCTGGAAATTCTGGCCGAAGGTACGAGACGCATGCCGGAAAAGCTGCTGCAGATATTAACAGCCTTGGGGTCGTATGAGAGAACGGTAACCTAGCCCATCAAAAGCAAGCAATTGAGAGAAGAAATCGCATTATTTATCCCTGATACGGAATTATCACAGTCACAAATTTCCAGCTCGTTTACCATCGATGGTGATACGCGAAGCTTGTCCCACTTATACGAGTCCAGATATCCCTGCTGGTAGTGGCTATACGTGTATAGCAAACAGGCCATCCGCAATATCCGTACCTCAGCTCCTTGATGCTGACTTGTACTGCAGACTGAATGGCTAGTCAAAGGGCTTAAGATAAGCTTAAGACATTTGAAGTCCAGTGCCCCTCTTCTGGAGGAACTTGCCGCGTCAGGTGCGCGCTCTTATGAATTCCGGGGCCAAGTCCGCGTATTTTAATACACAACTCCTCAATACTTTCTATAAGTACTTCAGCAATAAAGATAAATAATCTTTGCTGTTTTCCCATTATGTGCTTTTAATCTTACATTTCCTTTAGCTTGTTTACTATTTATTGCATTTCCTTCTCTTTCTCATCCATTTACCTGTCCTTACAGAATAAATCGCACTCATTTGCATAAGACTTCATACTCCACGATCGTTTTCTTTTTCTTCTCCACTATCACTCCCTCAGAATAGCAATGGCAGGTTTTACGTTCTATAACTACGAGCCCTCTTTACCAGCGGCAGCCGCATTTGTCATCATTTTCACCGCCGCCGCTCTGATTCACTTATGGCAGATGTTCCGACATCGAACATGGTACTTTATCCCATTTCTCATCGGCTGTCTCTGTAAGTACCCTTGTCTTCACATCTATGAAAAAATGCTGACTCTCCACAGTCGAGGCATTCGGCTACGTCGGCCGTGCACTCTCCGCAAACGAAGCTCCGGACTACACCAAGAACCCGTATATCATGCAGTCGATATTGCTCCTCCTCGGTCCGGCACTCCTCGCCGCGTCTATTTACATGATACTGGGCCGGTTGATAGTTCTTTTGGATTCAGGCCACTTATCCCTGATTCGAACGAAGTGGTTGACCAAGGTCTTCGTCATCGGCGACGTGCTATCTTTCCTGGCACAGAGTGGAGGTGGCGGTATGCTCGCCTCAGCAAAGGATAAGGATAAGGTGAAAATGGGCGAAAACATGATCGTTGGCGGATTGCTCATTCAGATCGTCTTCTTTGGCTTCTTTATGGTTGTCACGGTTGTCTTTCACATGCGGATTCGCTCTCGTCCGACTTCTCAATCTCTTGTCCTGAACACTCCTTGGGAAAAGCTGATTTTCATCCTTTACGCCTCGAGCCTTTTTATCCTTGTTCGGTCAGTCTTCCGTGTCGCGGAATATGTTCTTGGGAAAGACGGAGCGCTGCAGTCTAAAGAGTATTGGATCTATATCTTTGATGCGACGCTCATGTCCTTTGTTGCTATTCTCTTCAATATCTTTCACCCTAGCCAGGTAATCGACAATCTTGGGGCCGAAAAGCCGAGATATACGGTAGATGAGTATCCCTTGCATACCGTATAGTTTACTCAAAGCTTACGGAGAGCTTTAGTGGGTATATCATAAGGCATCTCTGTCATCAGACACTTAGAAGCATAATCAGATGTATGTATCAATAGACAAACTTTAACGAGAGCTTTTCAAGGCACTGCAACATGCTACAGAGTGCTCGTTTATCCCCATTTTCTCAGGTGCCGTTCGCAGGTTGTGTATAGAGATGACCATCAATTGTGGTATTCATGGTCCCATTTGCCTGGAATATGTTCTTCAAAATGTCAATAGTAAGGTGAAAGCCACCCGGGCTTGTCTTCTTGGTATTCTTTGAGCTTCCAGTTTGAGTCAGGTCAGAATACCAATCGACATGACTGAGCGTCAGAGATGGAAACGTGGCGCGAACTGTTTCTGATCCTGACAGAAACGTTGATCCATCATCTGAGAAGTCATGATAGACTACACTGATCTCATTGACAGATGCATCATCTCCCCTCACGATCTCAACATCCGCATATCCACAACTGAGCCCCATTAGAGTATAGTTCCCAGGTGCTGGCTCGGAACGCTGTGGATCGATTTCTCCTGGAGAGTATTCAACGCCCCATGGTACCTCATCCGAGACGGGATCGACTGGAGGAAGATCGAGGGGCTCCCAAGTAGTAAGAGTTGCCAATACTACACGCACTCGTCTACCTCCTGGCTCCTTAGACGGATAGCACGGAAGCGGGTTTGTCCCCCCGCACGCAGGTGGAAGTGTTTGAGCCTCCCCGTACGCAATCTGGGTGCCGTCCGGAGACCATGTCGGGTCAGCCATTGCATTCCACTCCGGGTCATTATAGTCGCCACTACCAGGAACAACCTTCCCTTCCCCATTGATCTTCTGCCCAAAGTATTCCCCACGATCACCATACCTATCCAAAAGATACGGCCTGAAGAATCGTCTCTGTCCGTTGTTTCTTGTCGACGCTGTAATTGATGCACTGACAAGGTCGGTAATAGGTGGAATATGTCTCATGCCAGAGAGCCACATTTGACGGTCTGTTCCCCGTGTATCCAAAACCGCCATCCAATTATCGTCAGGTGAGATAGCAATAGGATCGCAGTATTCTGGGTGGCTTGTAAGTCGCCGGACTTTGCCGGTCTGCAAGTGAACAGCGAAGACATCAATGTTGGAGGACTCGGCCGGATAGCCGATGTACGTAGCTTCAGTTCCCCTGCCGCTGAAACCACGAAGCTCGCCTACAGTTATGGCGTTCCGATTTATGGTGATGTGCTTACCACGCATCGCAATAGGTTGGTCCGCTTCTGGGTTGAAGAGTCGGGTGACTTTGATGAGATCGTAACGTGGGACAAGTGGTATGCCCACCACTGGTTCCGCGTTGAACTCCAATCTTCCGAAGTACGCGTACTGACCGATCTTTTGACCGTTAGTTGTGAAAGCATTGAACCCAAGATGGACGTCGTCGGGGTGCAAACGCAGTTCCCGAATAGCGCCGCCTTCCCCTGTCCCATCAGGACTTTGATTCCACCGTATGGGATAAACATGAGTGCTTTCGGGTGTGCAGGCCGCATCAACCAGTTCAGCATCTCCACAGTCGAGTATATTGGTGCCATATAGAAGTCTCTTTCCGTCGCCAAATGCCTGGGGGTAGCTATATGTCGGGTTCATTCCTCTTGTGTTTTTCTCACCCAGTCCACAAGTGAGACACTTCCATGGACTTCCACTCGGGAATACCTTGCCATCGGTCTTGATGACGATGATCTGACTGCCATTGTAAACGCTAGAAGGGTCCGGAGATGACGGAGCGCCTGTAAAGGTGACGTGGACCAAAACGTGCTTTCCATCAGGTAAGAAGCCACCCGTTTGGAAGTCCGCGTTCGAGGCAAGAGTCATGCATCCAGTGCCATTTCGATTCACTTTTGGCGTGCAAGCACCGGTGTCATTGCTTGGTGCAACTGGTGGCAGGGGAAGTGTTGAAAGGCTGATGGGTTCTGGATTTGGCGGGGCATCGTGCGCTTTGTCGGTCGACATAATAAACTGAGAGCTTGGAAGTGCCAGTGCCCTCCCTACACAGCTCAGTATGAGTAACTGGCGGCAATGCATTCTGAATATTGATACTTTGCAGTTTTTACGCGGCTTTGTGTGTACAATGAAATATTTGGCAAGGCCGGTACTTATAAGCTTCGTACTGCCTCTCGAGACTCGCAGGCCACAGCTTTCTCGAATGTTAGCTGAAGACTTCTATTCCCATTTTTCATATCAGGCCAATGAATACAAAATACCCTAAACAGGATCTTGTCTACATGTAGACTATTATCAAGAGACTTGATTTTCTATAATATGGATAAACTGCCCCTGGATATAAATATATTCATTACATTACTCGAAATCCTCTCTGATGCATTTTGTACTGTGCTAATACTGGCATGCACTAATTGCTAGTACAGAATAGTGAATAGGAGCGAACCCACAGCAACGTCATTGGCATTGACCCGTATAATGCCTAATACGCGGAGGTCCCTGCTATACGCGTATTTCGTATTTTGTCATTCGCGTGCAATTTCTTCCCCCTTAACCTGGACCATCAATTTAGTGGAATTTGCAACAATGGAGGCATGACCTACTGCTCAATCGTCTTGACGAGGTTTTAGATCCCTTACGTAGTATACTTCAATTGAAGGAATCACCATGTAATGGCCATTTTCAGCACTTACCATAAATTTACGCGTCAATGTCCAAGATGCGTCACTACTCTCGTTGGTGCTGGTTTGCTGGTCACACAGAAACGTAGACAATGACCCTAATGTAACTATTGCTCTGATTTATCATGTTCAAATTGCTCTCTGTAGAGTCCTTGCTCAGATATTTACATTAAACTTTAAAAGTACTACATAAATTAAAATTCTATAAGACTCCGAAAAAACCTTGCGCACTATGATCCCGTCATACAGTGACGACTTTAACTTCGGGTCCTTCAATCTTCTTGACCTTGCGGCCCTCCCACCACGACATCAGACCAGCCAACAATCCTGTACCGCAACCTAGACCGATGAAAGTACCAGTAGCCCAGCTCTTTTGCATGGAGTCAGCATGTCAACCTCGAATTGCTTGGGGGATTTGGAAGAAGTGAACTTACGGGACGGTCAATGCGATTATAACCCCACATGAAATAGCACAAAACAGCTTGTAGGAATGTATTCAGCACCATCATATAGATAGTGAATCCCAGTTTCCAAAGCGGCGTCGGAGGCGCCTTCTCGCCAGTGAACGTGGTTGAACGAGGAAGAGTAGCAGTCGAGTCAGCCGGGCTTGTGCTCTGTTCCGTAGCCCAGGTAGGAGGTCGAAACCAAGCCTTGTTTTGTTCTGTGAGCTTCTGCATAGCAGGGACATCCTTCCAGAAGACAGCACGGGTGTAGCGGTACCAGTCGCGGAAGCGCCACGGGGCAAGACCAAAGCCCGTTACACAGAAGAGGGCGTTGAGGATCTGACTGTCTATCTCAAGCCATTTCTTACGCGCTGAGTTGTTGTCGTTGGCGCTGGGATGGTTCATGGCTGGTGCGACATTGAGCAGGAGGAAGAAGAGCATTGCCTAGAGATGAAGAATTAGAACTGTAAAACAGAAGGATATCGATTCATCAATCCACTTACGCCCCATGCCTGTAGAACGTCGATTAGCTAGCTGAACTTACGGAATAACCAGACAAGGGCTACTTACCACAATATTGAGACCGTAGAGCGTGATGAGGAAGCCGGATGGCGTGAGAAAGAATTTCCAAAAGGCCTTTAGGCCGTTCATGATGGTTGGTCCCCATTTCTCCTTCTCATCAGCCTTGTGCTTCTCATATAGGCTTTTCCGTCGCTCCAATCGCTGTCGGTGCTTTTCGCGCAGATGGAAATGATGGTGATGGTGCTCTCTAGGTGCCTCGGTGATAGTCTCCTCCCTCGACGAACCCTGCTCCACGTCTACCTCCTCAGGAATTGCGACGGGCTCCTCGGCGAAAGGGTCCTTGTCAAACTTTGGAATCACACTGGGTCTGCGAGTGAGCGTCGCTGTCCTGACCAGCGTGAGTTCGCCGTCTGGCTCGGGGACAGCGTAACGCGCAGAGTGGCCTTGAGCGTTGAACTCGATCTTATCGCCGCCAGATTCGGCGTCGCGGAGTTCAGTGAGATTGGGCGCTTGTGCGATGGCGGTACCCGTGGCTTGCCACATGCCCAGCTGCGGGTTGGCATTGATGATGGATAGCGACGCGCCGCGGACGCGACCGACGAAGCCATTGTTTGGCGGCGGCTCCGACATTGCGGCTGATACTTAAGGAGTCTCCTGCCTCTGGTGATATCGTCGAATTTGAGGCTCAGAGACGATTCAATTGATGGTGCAAGGTTCGTTGGGGTAAATCTGACGGTATTGACTTAATCTTATTTCTTCGGAGTCGGCACTTGGTTGCTTCCGGTCTGCTCATCTTACTGAATGCAGTAAAACGCCGGAGGATGTTACACCAGCGAAGGCCCGCATCCCGGCTTTTACCCGCTTAATCATCAGATAAAGTTCTAACCAGAGCGAGGGATAAACAAAACTAACTAGATGCGATTTAGATCGTCGGCGTCTAAAAGTGCCGACTCCGCGGACAATCCTGGTCTGTTGATCGCTCCAGGGAGGGGGCCATGGAAGTTGATGCTGCTGATCATTTTTGATCTAAATGTAGTTCATGTCTTCACGCGCTTGCGGCCTAGAAATGTCAAGATACAGACTTGTACCTCTGTAACTTCACTGCAAGCTATTCTACCACCAAGCCTATCTATCATCGATGAAATAGCTCGTCCAAGACGTGTGCCAAACAAAAATACGAAGACGTACTACCCATCGCTATGACGGACGAGCAAACGCAGCATTGTGCACAAAGAACAGGTCAAAGCATTTTTGCATCTTTATTCATAGACGAAACAGGCTATAGTGATTTGGAAATCAAACTCTCCGAATACTCTGCAATGCTATTACTCTAGACATCGCACTCCAGCATACTGCCGCTGCACATATAAGTACCATGCTCCGCGCGATTTAACATCTTCAAAACATCTCTAAAGGCCCAGGGTAGCCCAGAGCGCAAGTCCACCAACAACCCAAGGAAACATCATCCTCACAGCCATCTGCGCATTGAACTCCTGCATGAGGTCCAAGACATTCTTCGCACTGGTATTCAAAGGTTCAGTCTCCGAAGACTTTGAGTCCGCAATGTCCAGAAGCTTGTAAGACGGGCCGAGCATCACCTTTCGAACCCAGATCCAACCGAGGGGCATAAGTCCTCCTGCGGTAGCCCATATCTTCCAAGACAGAGCAGAGCTGTTTTCCTTGTATTCTCCGTAGGCGATAGTGCCGATCACAATAATTGTGGTCAGGTCAACCCATGGCACAGTGGCTGACATGGACCAGTAAAAGTATTCCCATTGCTTCGCAGCGTCTTTGGGCGACTTTTGGACGATTGGGTAGACTGAGGGGAGAAGACGGTAACCTGATGTCATGGTGCCGCCGTTGATGAGACTGCCAGCGATGGCAATACCCTTGAGGGCGGGGAGATAGGCATGAAGGGAAGACATATTTGTGTGCTTATTGGAGGGTTTTCTTTGAGTAAGTTCAGATGAGAATGAAGCCGTTTGTGACTATGTGTAGAGTCAAACGATAAGAAATGCACCAAATACTTGCTGGTAGTCTTATTGAAGTTTTTCACTTGCACTTGAAAGAGGAACCCGTTGTTATAGTAAGATCGCCTTGAGCAGTCTTGAGGGAGCAGCCAGCATTTACATACAAGGCTTCATGCATAGAAACCACTGGACAAGTTGTAATCGCACTGTAAGCCAGACTAGTAACTATCACAATACATACGTAAGGTCCTGGTTGTGCACAGCCCATTGGGTCCTAACTCCAAAAGGAACTCCAGCTGAGATTATACTCGAAGGTTGCAGTGCGCCACTGGGGAAGCCGCTGGCCGGTTCAGGGTCTATGTGATTGTTGCAGGGACAGTGGAGGGAGCTGAAAATCTCGACGCAGCTGTAGCTAATGATAACAAAGGATGGCTCACAATTCGCTCACCATAATCTTCACTTTAACTGAGACATTCACAATCCCCAAGACGGTCTTGGCTACAGCGTTCAGGGTTGCAATATTGGCTCTAGCGCCTGCCCCCGGCCTGCATTAGCCTTTGCAATAGTTATGTTGTTACCCCTCAGCGCTAGCCCACGGTAGGCCGTGCTCTGCTCGTCTTGGGATTAGTACCTTTTTTTGTGGCTGGCTGTTCTGTCGAGTTTGAGCATTTTGGGACTCTCAGAAACACGGTATTTTTCCAAAAGTCCATTTGGTCCAAAAGAAGACAAGGCTTATATCGAAGCTCCTGAAATTGAGGCCCCCCAAGCCGCCGATCATATTGGAGCAGATACAAAGTCATCTCGGGACATTTTCCTAAATGATGCGGTATTTGTAACTGTGCAGTACATCCTAGGCAGGTCCCAAGTAATTATGATGTTTAAAAAGGAAAGTTTGCACGTGAGCTTATATATTACATTCAGTCTCAGCTGGTCGTTGCTCGCAAGTAAAATCATATCTGTATAGAATAATAAAATTGATAACGCGATTAATGACAAAATAACTAGAACTTCACGCCAACAGCATTCACCAAATTCTTAACAGCACTAAAGAACTCGACAAGACCCATTGTCCACCATGATCTCCTCTTCCAGCCCTCCTCAATAGGCAGCCTCTCTTCTTCAAAGATAGCTCTGACATACTTGACGGGAATCGTCTTTCCATCTCCAAAACAGCCCATCATCAGTGCGATCTGTCCGCAGTTGACTTGATGTTCAGCTGGTCCATAAACCAACTCTGGATTATCCTCCAATTGACGTGAGATGCGGGCCTTGATGAACCGGGCAAGGTCTTCAATGGTGAGAGTTTCACCATCAAAAGAATTATCTAGCATCTCCTCGATCAAGTCTTCCTGAGGATCATTGTTTCCCTGCTTCTGAGCAATGTCTCTTCTTGA